CTCCTCCTCCTCCTCCTCCTCCTCTGAAGGAAAACGCCACGGCGAGGGCATCGGATCAGGACCCTGGGCAAGGAGCCGAGGGCCTGACAGCCAGTGGAACACCAGCTGAGGCTAGGCCAATGGATGGCACCGCCGCCCCGATCTGGGCGCGCTCCCTGACGAACGCCCCCGCCGTGGGGGGGCCAGCTCAGGGGGAAAACATCGGCCCGGAATCGGCGAGAGCTCACCGACAGATCGACGATGAGCCCCCAATGGCGAATCCGCACGATCTTGGACGGGGTGGGCCATCGGGCATTGGGGTCGATGCAGCCCGCCCCCCCCCCTGAGCCATCCCCCCCTAACGCTGCTCCCGAGGGTTGCAGGAGCGAGCTTCAACTCACTCTTGCCGCACGCATCGGCGGATCAACTCTGAGAGCGTTTGCTCACAAACCCTGCTTGTCTCAACCCCCCTCGCACAAAAGGTCGGTTCGGGAGGAGCACGGCGGGGACGCGGGCGAGCGCGTCGCACGCGATGCTCCTGTTGGGCAGCGGCGTGGAGAAGTGCCACTCCTCCGAGGGGGGCGCTGGCGCGCGCGCGCGGCCACTGCCGAGTTGCACACTCGGCCCTCAAAGATCGAGGAGGGGAGTCTCTGCACAAGCTCGGATGGTTTGCGACGTTTGTTGGTCATCCAGGGACCTCTTGGCATCTCCCGGGGCCCGGAGGCCACGATCATCGAATGGGCGGAGGGGCGCTTCTGTTCTGGGTGCAGGTCTGCTGTCCCAGACCGCCGGCGTCTTGGAGAAAGACTACCAGAGGCTTCTCACCAATTTCGGCCTCCAGGGGCCGTTCGGGCTCCGCACGCAAAAAAACGAGTTCCTCTAAGGGAAAAAGAGCTCTGGGTGCCATGAAGTCTAGGATGCTGCTGTGCATGCCCTCGCACTGATAGACTCAAGTTCTTGCCATAAGGAGCCGCAGTCGTCGTCATTAAAGTACTGCAGGCGCTCCGACCTCTGGCATTGCGACTGCAACCCACAGCACCAAGTTTCCGTCTGAACACCTCCCCCGATGCAGTTCGACATGGCAGAGACAAAAAGAGAGAGAGAGAGAGGGAGAAACACAAAAATGAGATAGGCAGACAGATCGACAGGCAACTTACAGGCCGACGCACAGACTGACAGATAGACAGACGAGAACACAGCCAGACTGACTGACCAAGACAGGGCATTGTCAAGACACACGGCATGTCCACGCTGCGTGTTGCCATCGCCATGGCGGAGTTCGAATCAAGGTCGCGGGAGAGACAAAGAAGAATGAGGAGGAGGGCGAGTGGGACGGGGAAGAGGAGGGAGAGGAGGACGGGAAGCGCAGCGGAGAGGAGAAGGAGGGGATGAGCAAGACAAGCCGCTGCAAGCGGAAGAGGGATCGCAGTACCCAGGTAGGGAGAGGAGGAGGAGGAGGTGGAGGAGCAGCAGCAGCAGCAACATGATTGGAGTAGTTCAGGCTCGAGGCCGCAGCGATCTGCCGCCACAGCTTGTCGCAGCGTGAAAGGCAACAGGAGGAGGAGGAGGAGGAAAAGGAAACGAGCAGGTGGGGACGGGGAAGGAAAAACGCTGACGAAAACCGAACGCATACAATCGGGATGAAAGGCAGGCGGACGAACCAGTGCACCGAGGGGGGAGAGCAGGGCTCCTCTATCCTCCAGCCCTTGCCGGCGGCGTACTGCCTCGAGGCTGGGCAGCAGGGGCTCAGAAGGTCACATGGCCCCTCCCTGCCTCCCCTCCCCTCCACCGCTCACCGTGCTTCCCTGCCGCCATGCCGCCCTCACTTCCTCCCTCCCCCCTTCCCTCCCTTCCCCCTGACCCTCTCCCTCTGCTGTTCCCCTCTCCCTCCCCATCCTCCCCCTGCCCGTTTCCTGCTGCTCCCTGTCCTTCCTCATCCTCCCCCTGCCCGTTTCCTGCTGTTCCCCTTTCCCTCGTCATCCTCCCCCTGCCCGTTTCGACATTCTCCTCCCCTACCCCTCCCCGCGTCCTCCTCCTCCCCCCCCTCCTCCTCCTGCATCCCCTCCCCTCCCCTCTGGGCACATTGCAAGCATACGTACGGTCAGGGCTAAAGCTGTGCCCGAGAAGGAGAGGTCCAGGGGCGTCCTTGCCCTGGCATGCTTCGGCGGTCTTCGTGAAGAGGACCACGTAGATAGCGAAGGGCATGATGAGCCCGACCATCACAGCGTTGCGCTGAAACGGCCCAAAACCAGGCATTTGCCCATCCACCATGGTAGCGTAGACGCTGAGGCCCGTGACGAAGAGGTTGGCCATCAAGGCATGCTTCGCAACCACGTCCTTCGGCACCCCGAGCACGTAACCAGATGAGACGATGAGCAGGGCGGTACCGAACGCATGGAAAACCCAAGTAGCATGCGGCGTCGCCTCAATGGCCCATAACTTCTGCGTGGGCGAACTACGAGGGCAGAGCAGGACATCGACGTTGAAGAAAGTAATTGTCACGCCGTATGTGGCGAAGCAGACGAAGGTGATCATGCTGAGCACATCTCCCGCTGCCATCGCGTTTGCACCCTGCGTCCCAGCACAAGCCGGCCTCGAGGCAGAATTGACGTGAGGCTATGTTTTAGCAACGGTTCTGCGAGCGCACATGGTTTGAACCAAAAATGGCTACGGACCCGTCTTCGGGCCGTCTTGGGAGCCTCTTTTCCCGTCTTGAGGCCCTCTTGGGCCGTTTCACAACCCTTTGACGGGTACTTTGGATCGTCTTTGGGCCATCTGGCAGGCCTACGGGGCATCTGTGACTGTGAGAAGCTCGAACAAGCGAGAACGCAACAACCCTTCAACAAAAACAAAGGGAAATCAATGCTGCTGGCCTCTTGAGACCATCCTGGGAGCCCTCTTGGAGCACCCTTGGGCACTATTGAAGACCTCTTGGACCGTCGTGAGGCTGTGTTGGGCCTCGTTGGGCCCATCAAGGGCCGTCTGGACCCCATCCTGGCCCTCTCAGAACCGCCTTGGGGGCAATCTCAGACCATCCTGGGCCATCTGGGGACCGTCTGAGACCATCAATGTCGCAGGCTTCCGTCTACGGCCAGCTTCCGCCGGCTGCCGCCGCTCTTGCTCCCGTGGCCGGGGCGGGGTGCCCCCCAAGACTCCCCCAGGGGGAATACTAAACGGGAACCCCTCCGCAGGGTCGACGAAACGCAAATATAAGGAGAGAGAGAGAGAGAGCAAACAAATAGAACGAGAGGGCGAGAGAGCAACAAAAAAAGGGGGAGAGAGAGAGAGAAGGCAGCAACGCCAACGTAATGATGAGACACACGATGGAGAGAGAGATAAGGGGATATGAATGAAGACCTGCACGGAGGAGGACCAAGAGAAGCAGAGAGAAAGGAACATGTCGGGAGCTGCCTTGGGCCTATGTAGTAATTCGACAACATGTTTGCAATACGAGTCTCAAGCGCTGAGTCGTAAAGGGTATCCACATCCTCGCGAACGTCTGCTGCTGTCCCAGGCGGGGGCAAAAATGGGTGCCAATAGTGCCGACCGAAGATGCTTCGTGGTGATGTTGGGAACGATATGAAGGTAGTCACGGTGACGCGGGCAGCGGAAAAAATGAAAGCAGTGGGAGAACAGGAGCAGCCCCTGAATATGCTGGATGTCTGGTAAGGGTCCAAGCGTAAGTAAACAGGCGCAGACCCTATGGAAAACTGATGGAGGGACTACCAGCGTAAGAAAGCGAGAGAGTGTGTGAGAGGATCTGCAGTTCGCCAACGGCAACGAAGAAGTGACGTAATGGCTGCAATCGCAAAATAAGGATTGCGTGAGCTGCTGACCGGCCGATGTGCTTCTCAACAGACAGCTCCCAGAAACAAACTCGTTGAGCAAGCAATGCAAAGTTGCATAATAGAAACAGAATCTTGAGATCCGGCATCCTTCCCAAACACTCGAAACAGGACTTGAGGTATATGACCGTCACCAGTGGCTATGGGAACCTGAACCTCGCGGCGCTGGAGAAGCAGGAATGCGGCTGAAAGGTTGAAAGATGGCACTGCAAACAATGCATGGAAGAAGGAGCAAGATGCAGAAAGCCGATGCGACAATTGCCAGACTGCGTAGCCTGCGAAGGAAAAGGCATACTGCACCTAAGCAGTGCAACCCAGTCCAACACATCCTCGTGATGCTGGTTGTGGCATGTACAGTTGCTCCGTTCGCAAGATGATGAGCACACAGGCGAGCGCAATCGTTCTGACATCATGATAGCAGTCATGCATGCCCACAACGTATCGTCAGAACGCTGCCACCGAGTTTCCATCAACATTGTGGTCGCTCGTAAACCGTCCGAGACAATACGAATAACGTGGAACACTTGATACAATGCGCAAGACAGCACAAACCGTTTGAGTATGCGGGCCTTGAAGTTCTGGTTCGAAAGGCCCTGGCCGCACACGCAAGTAGTTTACATGTGTGACGATCGATTTCCGAGCTGGACTTGCGCTCCAGTCTGATATCGCACTTGCCGGTACGCACCTGACTCCCAGGACATCCCAGGGCACAGATATCGACCAGTACTTTGGGCGGGCCGTCAATCGCCAGAGTTCTTCATCGAAAGATCGTAACCTGACTGTCATCATTCTAGCTGGAACGGGACGCTAGCTCGCAGGAAGTCGGCGATGGTCCACGCACTGCGTCCTGCCAAACCCGAGTGCAGGTCCAAATGGGGCCCCCTGCCCCACAGGGGAAGGATTGCGTTTTGGGAGGGCCCTATCGTGGCACTTCTTGTTCCGCGGACGAGAGACCGTGCACAGCGTGCAGCTGGCATTAAGCCCTCCTGCGGGAGGTGGAAGGGAGGGCGGAGGACGGAGCAGGGATGAGCAAGTTGCGTGCAAGGAGCAGGGGAGGTGGGAGGAGGGGGGAGGAGGGGGGAGGAGGAGAGACTAGGGAGGAGTGACGCGGCGCGGGGCGAGGAACAGGGGCCAGGAATAGGGAGTAGGGCAAAATAGCGGGCGTTCAGATACCCCTTCCCCTCCGTCTTCCCCTTACCTCGCCCGTCGCCAAATTCGTCTTGTGAAGACGTTCTCGTCCCCCCATGGGTGTAGCAAATTCGCATGTGCTTCTTGCATGCGTGCAGGTGCAATTCATGAGTCATGTTCTTGATGCGATGTAAGGAGCATCTTCGCGTGCGTCTGCGTGTAGCCTCAAGGTTCAGGCTGGAGCTTGAGCGGCCAAATCTCCCGCACACCCGGGTTGGTCTTTGAGAGGGCAGGGTGCTTCTCGGAGGGTGGCATTTGAGAAGGTGCGGGGGGTTCTTTGAGAGGGCGAGGGGCCCTCCCCAAGTTCTCCCTCTCTCACGCCGCCGACCGATGCCGAGGCGTGGCGCGTCCGCGACCGCTCCACGGGGTGCCCTGGCTCGGCTCGAGCCAGACTGGAAGGGGCAACGGACGACCGTGCCTTCTTTCGACCCTGCTTCGGTCCCTCCTCCATCCTCCGCCGTCCTACCCCTTCCGTTATTATCAATAATAAAAACAGGAGTTCTCAATGGTCGTATGATTAACACTCTTAGCACTATTACTATAGTCTTATTATTGCTATGAGTCATAATATTAGTTGTCCCATTGGCCTTATGATCAACACTCTTACAAGTCAGTAGTATTAGCACGATTCGTAGTCTTAGTAGTTATTATTATGCTCAAGCTTACTATTCGTAAAAGAATGAATTCTAGCATGATTCTTAGTATTAGTATTAGTATCGCGGTTTCCTCCTCCTCCTCTTCCTCCTCCTCTCCTGCTTCCTCATCCTTTAACTCCTCCCTGCTCCTCCCAGCTCCTCCTGACCGTCGCCCGACGCCGACGCGAGGCGCGCGCGCAAGGTTGATGGGGTACGGGATGCCCTCGCTCAATCGGGCGCACATGGTTCGCCGACCTTTGACCTCCCCAGGGCGCCCCAAGACCCAGTAGGGCGCCCTCGGACCACCCACGACAAAATTATTGTCCGTGGGCCTACTGCCGACCTGGTGGAGCTGGAGTGGGAGGGGGGTCTTCTCCCTGCTCCTGAGGCAGGGAGGGGGGGAGAAAAACACAGCTCTTCTCCCAACGCGCGGCTGAGTCCAAACCGCGGAAACGACGCAACGGGCCACGTGTGCCTTGAAGCGACTTCCTTGTGAAGGGTGCAGAATAAGAGGCACCAAACGCGCGTCCAAGAGACCCCCAGATGCCCCCGAGGCGCCCCCAAGAGGCCCCCAGAGGCCTCTACGAGGCTCCCAAGAATCCCTCGAGGGGCCCTCAAGAAGCCCCGAAGCGCCCCCCAGATGCCCCCAAGACCCCTCCAAGAGGCCTAACATGGGGGTCGGCGGAATGGCGCGAACTACTTGAATTCTACGTACCAGACGCGCGTAGGCGAATCAGAGCTCAAAAACCAAACCGTGCAGGAGGACGGAGGCGGAGAAACACAGGACAAACACACACACACACACACGCGCGCGCACGCACGCACGCACGCACGCACGCACGCACGCACACACACACACACACACATCCACTCGTTGGCGTCGCGGCCACGCGCGCGACGGCGCGGCGTGGAACAGGCCAAGAGAGCGCACGCACTGGCCTGGCTTGACAAGCCGAGACATCACACACGCACACACTTTGCGCCACCGACCCCTCTGTCGGCACACTGCGGGACTGAGAGTGATGCTCCTGGTGTCCTGACGCAGCAGCTGCAGCCCCTCTCCTCCGACGTCGCATTCTGGGTCGTGGGCCCCTTGGTGTTCTCGACGCCTCCCCAGGGGACCGGCTTCTTCATATCGAACCGTTCTCTCATGGCCGCGTGGCAGGGCGACGAACCCCATGAAACACGCAAGAAAAAAACTACCGTCGCCATCCGTTGGCAACGCCCAGATCTGAAGGTCGTCCAACCCAAATCGGCTCAAAAGAAATCCCTCGACCCCCTCCCAGGGACCATCCTGGCCTACAACAACAGCCCGGAGACGACCTCCGAAACGGGCGCACCGTCTCATTCTGGATGCGAGGGGCGGCAGGCGGTCCACCGGGCTCCTCGCAGAGCTGGTCTATCCTGATGCTCTCCCTGGGCAGGAGGGACCAGCCGGGCACCTGCCCAGCACGCGCCGCGCCGGGCTGGGCAGCGACGCGCTCGGATATAGCGCGGCCGCGCGCCCAGCGGAGGCGGAAGCAGCCCCCACTCCTCCTGCCGAGCAGTGTTTGCCTCGCCTCACGAGCGACGAGCACACCACACGTGCACATGACGTCGACATGTGATGTGATCTGGACGTGCCACGAGGGTGCGGATATGGGCCACGTCCGTGCCCTCGTGATCTGGGCACCGGGGCACGATCCTATGGCCACGCGGTCCTGCGGATGCGTTCCGCGCGGGGCATCCGTGCAGAGCCGCCCTGAATTCTTCTGGACGCGGCCGAGGGGTGTGGACCGCGAGGCTGCGGATGTGAAGGAGTACCACCTCGCGTGGTGAAAAAAACGAACGACGTATGGCTTTCAGCCATCATTTGCGCTTTGGGGGCACTCACCGGGCCCTGGGACTGTAAAAACACGGGTCTGGACGGAGAAGTGGCCAAGACACCCTGGTCTGAAAGTTGTAAGTCCAGACGTGCGTCTTCACATGAGTTACCTCAAAAGTCAAGTCATAAGTAATGGCGTGGGTGCATTGAGGCCCTCTCCCACGGGGGAATGAGGTTGCCGGCCACGCGGCATCCTGAGTGCTGTCGCAGATCCCCTTGACCAGAGCGTCGACTCGTGGCCTGTGGCCGTTATGAAACCTAAATTGTTTTGGGCACAGTTTCAAAACAACTGAGTTCTGGATGCTTGCCACGAGGTGCGAAGGCGCCTCAAGATAGTTCAGAGAGCTATCGTGTCGCTGGCGATGAGATGCATTGAAGAACTGGCCCCTGGGAAGGAATTGAGACCTCGGGGGTCCACGTTGTGAACAAGCGGGGGTCCTCGCTGGAGGCTGCCCTAATGGAGCCGAAGTAGATGGGGTCGGAAGGTCGCGCCGCATCAGCGATGCGTCGGCGACATCGGGATGGGAAAAATCAGGCTTCAAATCGAGCCGCATCGCCGACGCATCGGCGACGCGGCGCGGTCCTCCGGCCTCATCTACTCTGGCCCCACTCGGGCGACCTGGACTCACCCACCAGACCCCCAGCGGATTCGGCTGTCTCGTTCCCGGATCTCCCCTCCCCTCCCCCAGCCTCCAGGGGACCGCTCCTCGGGACCCCTGGGCCCTCAGAAAGCGACGTGGGAGGAGAAGCCCGCCCGGGGGAAGGGGGGCGAGAGCCCTGCAGGGGCCCACGGCCTGGCAGCAGAGAAAAACCCTCCCCCCCTCCCCCAGAGAGGCCTGCGCGGGAGCTCCCGACGCCGCCGACCCAGGCCGGTCCGCCGTCGAGCCCCGCCGGACCCCGGGGCATCGCGGCGCAGGAGGAGCTTGCGCGCCCGTGCGCGGGAGCGCGGGCCCCGTCGCCGAAAGACACGGCTGCCCTGGGTCTAGCCTTAAGTCGAGCCTGTCCCCCTCCAGGGGGACTTTGTACGAAAAACTTTGAATACCCCCCCAAAATAAATACTCAAAAATAGTCAGAAAATATATTTTAAAAAACGTCCCCTGACGATGTTTTGACTATTTTTGAGTATTCCCCCTGCAGAGGGACAGGCCCGACATAACCTTACTCTTTCCCCATCTCCCTTCCCCCGAGACCTCCGATGTCACGATTTGTTCAGCACGTGGCCCCTGTAGCTCTCGACCGCTTCCCTGAACCAGATGTCCATCCCGAGCTGTTCTTTGACGGCCCGTGGGGCGGAGGCCGAAGATTGCGAGCAATCTCCAGGGCGATTCCGAGTCGCCAGAGCCACGGGCCCCCATCCCTTCACGCCGCCTCCTCCTGGAGAGGGGGGCGGCGGTGGAAGGCGCGAGGAGATCTGGGCTTCGTCGCGCCTGACGACGAAGACGACGACGATGACGACGTCGACCGCCGCGAACGCCAAATCCGCTCAAAATCTACCCTTGGACAACATCCAGGGTCCATCCTAATCAGTTCTGCGTGCTGGATCGACTTTTGCAGGCCCAGGGGCCCGAAACGGGTCTCCAGGAGGCGAAGATTTCAAAAGACTGTTTCCTCTTCCCAAACATCCGACAATATGTTTTGTTTAATCCGCGGGCCCCGTCCCCTGGGGCGTTTTTTTATCCCAGGTCAAGCTCTGATAGCCCTCGGGGCCCGGTAACAGCCCCTGGAGACCGAGATTGGGGGAAACACCCAGCTTGAAACGTTCAATCCTTCGGACGTCTGGGTTCTCCTCCTCTTCCTCTTCTTTCCTCCTCCTCCTCCTCCTCCTCCTCCTCCTCCTCCTCCTCCTCCTCCTCCTCCTCCTCCTCCTCCTCCTCCTCCCCCTACTCCATCCCTCTCCCTTCTAAATTCGCCAGCCCAACGGGCCAAGGGCGTGCTAAGATCTCTGATAACTGGTTAACAAGATTTCTAGTTCGCGCGTGCGGGGCCGCCCCTGGAGGTCCCCAAACGAAAAGTGCCCCCGCATGTCCCGGCAAGGTCCCGGCAAGATCCCGGGCAGGTCCAGGCCAAGTCCCAGGCAGGTCCCGGCCAGGTCCCAGCAGGCTCCCAAGAGCGCTCCAGGTGCGCTTCAAGTGGCCTCCAAGAGAGTTCAACATGGGTGAGACGGGCCAAGAGCGATCCATGACGCCAAAGATTGCCTCCAGACAGCCCAAAGCGCCTTCAAGACGCCACGAGAGGCCTTCAAGAGACCTCCCAAGAGGGCCCACAGAGGCAGAAATTTGTGATTTTCCTTCAGCTTCCAATGGTTTTTGGCGTTCTCGACTTTTCGGCTTACCGGCGTTCCAAGACGGCCCAAGAGGCTTCCAAGACCGCCCCAAGACGGCCCACGAAGCCTCCAAGAGGGCCCCAAGACGCCCAAGATGGCCCCAAGACAGCCCAAGAGGCGCCCAAGACGGCCCAAGAGAGCCCCAAAATGGCCCCAAGAAGGGGACCAGGAATCGAAAAGTCCAGCCTTCAGCCCCAAGAGGCCCCCAAGGAGGCCCCAAGAGGCCCCCAAGAGGCCCCAAGGGGCCCCCAAGAGGCCCCCAAGAGGCCTTAACACGGCCCTCAAGAGGCCTCAAAACTGCCTCCCAAAGGCCCCTGAGAGGCCAACCACGAGAGCCTAACCAACATCCGTGAGGCCTCTGACCCGCCACCCACCGCCTCCGAAGAATGGCAGCCGCCCAACCGCACTGCATTGACAACAACACCCCGACAAATGACAGCGGCGAGGCAATATGAGCCGGCGGCATGAGCGAAGCGATTTAATAACTCCTCCCTGCCGCACCCCGAAACATAGAAAGGGTGGGCTGGGCGTCTCGCCAGAAACGTCCTCACCATGTACGATATTCAGGCTTGAAACTTGCCAAATTTTCAGGAAGGGACGGCTGCCCACTTTCAATGTGTGGCTCTCGCCTTAGCGCCGCGCACATTCATCGCAAAAAAAAAGATCAGCTTCACGGATGGAGGACGGCTCGCATTCAAAATATGGACCTCGCCTTAGCGCCGCGCACATCCGTTATAAAGCATTGCGGAAGTTTCACGGATGCAGGGGTTTTAAAAAATGTGACTCACTCCAGCGCCGCGCACATTCGTTTGAAACATTTCCAAAGAGCTTCAAGGACGGAGGGCGGCACGCTTTCAAAATGTGGTTCTCGTCTCAGCGCCGCGCATATTTGTTTTAAAAACTGAAAGAGGTTCACGGATGGAGGGCGGCTCTGCTTCAAAATGTGGCTCTCGCCTTAGCGCAGCGCACACTCGTCTTCAGAGCTTGCAGTAGTTTCAAAAAACTCTCATGGCTAACGTACCAGAAGATTAATTCTGTTGGGGCACGATGTCGGAATGTCAGGGCGCACCAGTCACGTGGATTAGCGGGGTTGGCGTCCCAAAAAGGCGTTCTGGCACGGTTCAGGACCGTCACGACGGAACTGTAACGGTGATTCGCGGCGTTGAAGCCCTAGGAATGGTGTTCCAGCACAGTTCCGGACTTTCAAACGGTTGTCTTCCAACGGGGCTTTTCCCTCAGTGAACATGAACCCCTGTCGGGGCCTACGGAAAAAGAACTTGGAGGGGGAGGGTTGACTGCTATATCGTTGACGAGCCTTGTGTTTACACTGGTCCTCCTCCTCTTCCTCCTCCTCCTCCTCCGCCTCCTCGGCGGCGGCGATGACGACGACGACGACGACGACGACGACGACGACGACGACGACGACGACGACGACGACGACCCGCGAGGGACCTCACGGCGCTCCTGGGGGGCCGCAGCGCAGCTCCCGGCAGGCGGCGGCGGTGGGGCGGCGGGGAGGCGAGGGCGGCGGGGCCGCCTTCTCGTGGCAGATGTCGCGCACGGTCTCGGGGGCGGAGACCTGCCGCGGGGCCCCCTCGTGCGAGGCGGGGATCTGTCCACAGCCACCGCCTGGGGACCGACGCCCTGGCGACCCATGCGGGCGGTGGGCATGGATTATGCTCTGGCCGCTGGGGGGCCGAATATGTGGCCACATCCGCCGCCTGCGGAGGTCCGCGGGGATCGACCCCCCAGGCGGTGGTTATGGATGAATCCCCGCCGCGGAGATCGGGGGCGGGAAGGAGGAGCGAACGTCCACATTGCTGCGGGGGCAGCGAGGGTCAAGCATCGCAGGGTGGATGTCAAGGCGGGGCAGAATGGTCCCGGCAGGACTCGAGCCTGCAATCCCAGGCTCCGCAGGCCGATGCCTTATCCATTGGGCCACGGGCCCAGTGGGGCGGGAAGGAGCGCCAGTACATTCCCGAGTCTGTCAAGCTCAGCCGCGACGCCTCGGCCGGAGCCAACTGTATGGCCCAGGCGCGTTAGGCGGAGGTGGAAGAATCGAGAAATTGTCCGGCATTTGCGTGAGCGCAGCATTTAGGGCCACGAGGGATTGGTTTAAATCAAGAGGCCCCACCATGCTGTCGACTGACCATCTTCTTTGCAAGATAGTAAAAATAAAAGTACGAGGATGTAGCCAGCACAGCATTTTCACACGAGCTAAATCAAACGCTGGGTAGGGAACTGGCAGGCCGAGCCCGGGACGGATGAGGGGACACGGAGGCACCACCGCACGAGGAAGACACACGAGGTGAGTGAGTCGAGGGCATCGCAAGTAGTGGGCGATGCTGTCTGGACGGCGGTGACAGCCAAATACACAACTCCAGCGCTCCTCGGTTACGTGCATGCGGTCTGTTGTCGTCCACCCCCCAGCGACCGCCTTCAAGTATGGCCACCGAACAGAAGCAGGAGCGTGGAGCAGGATTCTCCGAGCCAGATCCCACAGCTCCTGAAGTCGTGTGGGAGTGGTGTTAAACCAGGACCGACCGCGACGCCCAATCAGGAGGTGAAGCTTCTCAGGAAAAGCCTCGTGAGAAATGAACTTGAGATATACTCCAGATTTCGTAATAAAAGGGAGGGGGTCTGGACCCTCCAAGACAAGCCATTTCAGACCTCCCCCTGTGGGAGAACCCTCCAAAACATCGTCCCCACACCCCCCAGGCCCTCCAAGATAGCCTGGAAGAGACCCCCCCCCCGAAATGAGACCCCCCTCCCTTTATTACGAAATCTGGAGTACACTCTGCATTTTCGGCTTCCTACCAGCCTCGACTGCTTCTCGCACGGCCCGCAGTGGGGAGGAAGGAGGAGGAGGAGGAGGAAGAGGAGGAGGAGGGAGAGGAGGAGGAGGAGGAAGGAGGAGGAGAAGGAGGAGGAGGAGGAGGAGGAGGAAGAGGAGGACACCTTGAGCTCTACCCACAGGACCTCCAGCGATGTGTTTTTTTCACGCCGCGCGCCGCCCCATGGCCTCCTCCTGGGGCCCAGGGCCCCGCCGCGGGCTCGGTGCCCGACAGGGCACTGTGTGGTTTTCTGCACTCGCGCTTTGGGGCCGTCCATATGCACACACACACACTCCTCCTCCTCCTCCTCCTCCTCCTCTTCTTTCTTCTTCTTCTTCTTCTTCTTCTTCTTCTTTTTCCTCCTCCTCCGCCTCCTCCTCCTCCTCCTCCTCCTCCTCCTCCTCCTCCTCCTCCTCCTCCTCCTCCTCCAGCCACGCGCGCGGCGGCGCGGCAGAGTCAAGCAAAGGTCGGGCGGAGGCGCGCGGGCCGGCCCGGCTCGCGCAGTGGAGACACGTCCACATCCACGTCTAAACGCACAGCGCCGCTCTGGACAGCCTTTCGTGTCCACGGGCTCTCTGTCTGGACTCCTCGGCCGCGACCCCACGGATACGGGGCGTTGTCTACGAGGTGCCCCGCGCGGAACGTATACATGTGATCGGGTATCCACGGGATCGCGCCTCGGAGTCCAGAGGTGCCCCGCGCGGAACGTATCCATTGGATCGGGTATCCACTGGCTCGCGACACGGAGTCCAGATCGCGAGGGCCTCGATATGGATCTACTCGTCGCTCGTGAGCCCTCGCGATCTAAGACATCCTGGCGTTGTGAAAAAAATGCCACGGGTGGTTGAGGGCAATTTTCTGTACCGAGGGGCCGCTTTCGGGCCCGCGGACCGTCAAAAGAGCGGGCTCGGGATGAAAAGCGGGCTCTAGGGATTGGGTCGAGACTCATGGGGGTGCACTTCTCGAAACACTTGCGACATCGGAAGAGAGGTATCGAGGATAAGGGATCGAAGATCCACATTCCTAGACCTCCGGCGGATTGATTTGCTCATCCGCAAGATTTTTCAGTATTTTCGGCCTCCTGGGGCATGCTTGCCCGCCCGGCCCAACAAGGAATGGATCCGGGACGGATAGTTGTCCCAGGGAACTGGGTTGAGACTTCTGGGCCTGTAGGTGGAAAAACTCACATCGCTGGACGTTTGGATGTGGAATGATTCCCAAAATGTGGTGTCGGGACCTCGCTTTGAAGAAATAGCGACCCGCGTCCCCTTCCTTCCCCCCCGCTGCCCCCTCCCTCCTCCCACCCCTGCCTCTGCCCTCCACACCAGTCACATTTCGGCACACCCCTCACACGATTCGTGGCCCCATAGGGAGCTCCACCGAAGGCCCCGGTGGCGGTGTTCGCAGGCGTCTCCCACACCCATGTCGGCACACCTCTCAAACACTTGATGGCCCAATAGGGAGCCCCACCGAAGACCCCAGCAGAGGTGTCCGCATGCGTCTCCCCACACCCACTTCGGCACACCCCTCACACACTTCGTGGCCCCATAGGGAGCTCCACCAAAGGCCCCAATGGGCGTGCTCGCATGTGCCTCCCCCACCCAATTTGCGCACACCCCTCACACGCTTCGTGGCCCCACATGGGAGCTCCACCGAAGCCCCTTGTGGCAGTGTTCGAATTGGTCTCCCACGCCCATTTCGGCACAACCCTCAAAAGAAGGCCCCAATGGATGCGTTCGCATGCGCCTCCCCCACCCATGTCGGCACACCTTTCAGACGCTTCGTGGCCCGATAGGGAGCTCCACCGAAGGCCCCAGTGGCGGTGTTCGCATGCATCTCCCTCGCTCCTTTCGGCACACCCCTCACACGTTTTGTGGCCCCACATGGGAGCTCCACCGAAGGCCCCAGTGGCGGTGTTCACATGCTTCTTCCCCACCTATTTCAGCGCACTCCTCACACGTTTCGTGGCCCTATATGGGAGCTCCACCGAAGGCCGCAGTGGCGGTGTTCGCATGCGTCTTCCCCGCCTATTTCGGCACGCCCCTCACACGTCTCGCGGCCCCATAGGGAGCTCCACCGAAGACGATGCTCACAGCTGCGTTACTCACAACCGCAAATGCTTGGGTCCTTCGCCCAGCTTATTTTATTATTGAGGGGCCGCCGCTGGCCTCGAAGGCCTCCAGGGACCTCTGGAGATCCCCAGGGTCCTCGAAAATCCCGAAGCCTTTACGACCCAGGCTGAGACTGGTGGTCGGGGAAGGGGTCGCGAACTCCACGGGCCAGCGACTCGAAGAAATCGAGCGCGAGGTGTACGGAGGAAGGGAGGCAGCAGAAGCAGCATCAGCACTGTGTGTGTGCGCGCATTCTAAAATATAGTTGCTTGTTCTGTTCGCTTCTTCAGCGCTCCAAGACGCTCAAAGAGGCTCTCCAAGATCGCCCCAAGACGACCCAGAAGCCCCCCCGAGACGACCCAAGACGGCTCAAGAGAGCACCAAGACTGCCCACCAGACTGCCAAACCAGCCCAAGAGGGCTCGAAGGCGCCCAGAGTGTCTCCAGAGAGATCAGAAAGCGAGACGACGACAACAGCGACGACAGCGACGAGGAAGAGCGGGAGCGGGTGCACTAGCAGGGAGCAGCAGCACGGGCAGGAGTGGTAGGAGCAGATGAAAAGCAGGAGGAAAAGGAGCGGGACCACGGATTGAGCTCTGGCATGGGGCGGAGCTTGCCCGCTGCAGCGATCGCTGAGCTTCGCTCTGATGCCGCTCTCTCACTCTCTCCCTCCTTCTCGAGTCCGCTATCGACTCGGACTCAGACTCGCCCCTCAGCGGCGAACGACCGACCAGGCTGGACAAGCGCGGGACCCGAGGCGGACAGCATCCGACGAGCGCGGCAGGGCGCACGGCGCCCGGAGCCCGAGGCAGGCACACCACGCGCGCTCGGGCATCAGTCCCGTGCGTCGGCGGCACTCCCGAAAGGCGAGGGCGGGGGCCACGAGGGTCGGGGGGCCCCTCGGAGGGCCCGTGCGCCGCGATCGGCGCGCTCCCCCCCGGAGCGCTGACTCCAAGCATCCCAGATGAGGGAAAGCCGGCGGAAGGTCGGAAGGGCGCCCACGTGCACGACCACGGCCCGCGAAGACGTCAGGAGGTCCTTGTCCTCAACCCCGTGGCATATATATATATAGATATGTGTGTATATCTATATATATATATATATACATACACACATATATATATATATACATACACACATATATATATATACACAGAACACAACACGGGCCGCGCGCAGCCGCTGCACGGTGCCAGCAGCAGCAAGCGCCGCAAGAAGCAGCATGCCCGAACGGGCCCAAGGTGTCTTCGGTGCTGACCGGCCATGCGGCTTGAGGAGCACGATAGGGGTGCCCCGCGCGTCGGAAGTCGTTTGCGGAAAGCGATCTGCGAGCGCCTTCCTAACCACCCCAGAGGCGCAGCGGCGGCACACAGCGCGCGGAAAACGTCAAGTTCGGCAACAGCGCTCCGCGAGACTCAAGAGAGTTTGCTAGGAGGCGGTGTGGAACATCATCGGCGTGCTTCGCTAACATGTCCCCCGAATGCCTGCGCACACAGCCTGCCCACCAAAGAGGCGGTGACAGCAGCACCAAACGCGACGCAACCGAGCAAACACCGGCAGCTCTGAGCCGATTCGCGTCGGACCGCGAATCGCACCGTGCCACTCTGGCAGCCTGCTCGGGCCCTGACTGCGGAG